TGTGGTCTTTTTTTGCTGATTTTTGCCCATCTTGCTGAAATTGAGTTAAATGCAAGGAGTTCCAGGCCCTCCAATTTTCCCTTGAAAATTTCAAGGCCTAACTGTTATTTTTTAGGTGGTAGCAGCCATTTTTAATGTTGACTGAAATATTATTTTTCTCTCATTACCTTAGAAAATTGGCAATTGTGGTGTAATGATAAGCCCATAGAAATGCCCATGAGGGCAAATCCTCATGGGCGCAATTTTTGTCTAAAATTAACGTATTATGGCTCATTTTGTAGAAAAATCAAATATCTACAACTTGTTCATTTGGGATTTTGCAATTTTTGCCTGTGCTTCTTTTAAAAGTTAGAAATGTAAGAAAATGTTTTTTGATTTTCAAGAAGACCCCTACTTCAAAAATTCACACACAAAAAAAAAATGAAGTCGAAATCGAAAAACCTACAACAAACAAGTTGTAGCTATAAGGTAGGTCTGTCCAAAAATCATTTTTGAAGATGGGAGAGTTTGCCCCCTCTCTGTATTTACAGATTTTTTTTTTTTGACTAATTCATAAACTGTTCGGCTGATTTTGAAAAAAAATATACCACAGAGATCAGGCTAGGGTCTAAGTAAAAGGGTGTGAGTCTCATCAAAATCGGCAAGAAAAATTGCAAAATAAAAAAGAAAAACATAAAATAAATAAAATAAATAGAAAAAAAAGGGATGGTCCCCTTAAGTTATTGGTAGTTTCAAACTCACATATGTGTGAAAGGACAATCCTAAGAATATTTTAGAAAGTTCTTATTTGTTGATATTTAGTATTAGCATATTTCAAGTTAATATTAGAAATCAGCAGAGAAAAGTAGAAATCAGCAGAGAAAAGTATGGAAATATTGATACTTTTTTTTTCCCATCTTATTTCTTACTTTCCTCAAGCCAGTTCCCTGGTTTTAAAGAATGTATACAAACTAGAAGAAAATTCTAAATTATAGCTGAGCATTTTGTGCGATCTGGATTTTAAAAAATGTTTTTTATTTGTTTTTATGTTTTTCCTTCTAATTGGCTGAAACTACCAAGGGCTCTTTAAAAAATTTCCAAAACAAAAACAGATTGCAGAGGGGTCATAATGCTTTCATACAATTTCATACTTGATCAGCTTACTAAATTCCATTTAATTATCTCAAACAAATTTTTTATATACGTATGAGAAATAGGATCTTTGTGGGTTCATTTTACATTGCACAGGCGGGTCCCCTTGTCTTGTTAAGGTTGAAGTCAGATTAAGTAATCATTTTCTTAACTACTTATCATATATTAAACTTTTTTTCTCTCTGTTTTACAGCCACATCCACCCGTGAAGCCAATGGCGTATGCCAATTCCATCCTAAGTTTGTTTAGTTAGGGAACAATACACTTTGTAGTCCATTAGTCCAACATAGTGTATGAATATGCTGGAATTGTTCATTGGTGCAAGTTAGAGGACACAGAATAATATATCTGCCCATCTATTGAGTACAACATAGGAAACCACTCATGAAATTTCAGTAGCCTTATGGTTTATGTAACTGCAAAAGCAGGAAACAAGATATAACTGTATACTTTGTAGTACCACTTTGTGTACCAGCAAATTGTATGAAAAAAGATGAGGAACTCTGTCTGATATATTTTTCCCCAACAATCCTCTAAAGAACGAAAACTAGGTTTCTACTTATGATATGTATTTGTGATGCAAGGGAACTTGTGTCATTGTGGTTCTATCAACTTCAAAGACAATAATTACCAATGTGTGGAAATATGCAAATATTTCCTAGTCTATTTTGATTAATGTACCATTTTGAATTGATTTTGACAAGATGTTATCAGTCAATTTTTTTGTAATTATTTTGTACAAGATTAGATCTCATCATGAGCTCCGTTGTTTAAGGATTCTGTGTAGAATGATTTATCTGATTTGAGTAATTTTTTTTATTTGCATTTGGGTTTAATTTCTTGTGATTTTATAGTATGGATTAGTCAGGTCTCAGTAATTATGTGAATTAATTGGCTCATGATTTCTAAGCATTTATCATCATAGAAATGGACAGTTTGTTCTGAATGTTAGTCCACAGAAATCTAACAAATACAGTACACATGCACATGTGCACCTGCACACATATACACACACAAAATAGAAATAATGCATTTCATAGTATCACAATCTACAATTTTGATTGCCATCATTACAAGATATTTTTTTCTGAATATTCTACTTCAAGTCATTTATATGCAATGTCCACTATAATTTTGTTTGTCAGTTTTGTTTACACTCAAATACCTTCACAAGCACTGAATCATCAAAGACTCAATTACGAGGCCTATCTGATCACACCTGTTTACCCCATTCCTTGATTTTTTTTATAAAGTGCTTATTTCTTAGTCTTTCATTTAGTGATTATTATTATTATTATTATTATTATTATTATTATTATTATTATTATTAATATTATTATTATTATTATTATAGTTATCATTATGATACTGTTATTAATGATAATGGTAAGAAAATAAAAATCTTTGCCATTCAGAGTTTTCAGGAGTAAGGTAAACAGGTGAGAGCAAGTAGGCTTCACTGGTGACTAAGAACTTCTGTAAACATCTGCATGTAAACAGAATCTTAAAACCAAAATCACAGTGCAATGAGAATGCACTCCTGACATCATCAAGCCATATGCCAAGGCAGCTGATATATCACGTTAAACAAATTTTGATAGAATTTGAAATCAAAGTTATCTTCAAGTTTTGAAAAAAGCCCAGGAGGAACCAAGACAAAGCATAATCAGGTGGTGAAATGTTGTTTCAATTTTTTTTTTTTCTCACTTTTCATATTAACATTGTTATTTATGTCGTAGTCTGTAGCATTCAAACTGCTCATACATAACACACAGACCCAAGCAACACACATGCACTTACATGCATGTACACTCCTAAACAAACACACACACATGCCCATTCACACAGACATGCACTCATGCAAACATACACACACACACACATATGTATGTACACACAAGCATATGCACACACACTCGTATATGCACATACACAAACTCATATGCACACACACACACCCATATGCGTACACACATGCATATGCACCAAACATAAACGCGAACAAACACTCACGCACTCACATACGCATGCACATACACACGCACATGCACACGCACATATATGCACACACACATACATACATGCACACAGACAAATACATATATGCACACAGACACATACATACATGCACACAGACACATACATAAATGCACACAGACACATACATGCAGACACGCACATACATGGATACATGCACATACATGCAGACACGCATATACATGCACACACGCACATACATGCACACACACTCACACATGCACACACACACACACACACACGCACATACATGCACACACTCAAACATGCACACACACACATGCAAACACATGCACACACATGCACACACACCCACAAAAACATATATGCACACACATCTGCACACACGCACACATATGCACACACACATATGTACACACATATTTGCATACACACAGGCATGTGCTCCCACAAACACATGCGCCTATGCATGCACACACGCATGCACACACACACACATAGACACGCACACATACACGCACACATACACGCACACATACACGCACACATACACGCACA